AAAAAAAAAAAAAAGAAAACTTGCTGAAAACCTTTGTAACATTGATATAAAGGGGAGAAATATTTACCCACTTGATCTTAATACTAAGTTTTATCATGCAAAGTTACATTTAAGGAGAATCCATGAGCTAATAAGTTGTGTCCATTCTATATTAATAATCATATGTCCACTCCACTTGGGTCTGAAAAAATAATCCATTTAGTAATTTAATCACAGTAAGTAGAGACTTTACTAATTGATAAATGCATTATTTAATTTTGACATATTTGAGATTTGCCATGTAGTAATTTTCAGAAGTACATAAACACATTGATAAAATACAAAGAAGGACAGATGGAGATAAAGAGTGGAAAGAGATAACAGACTGAGAATGTGAGTGAGGGAAAGAGGAAAGGTGAAGAAAACTGGGCTAAAGGATACAAACATACAGTAAGACAGAGGAATCTAGCTGTTCAGTGTTTGAGAGCAGAGTAGGGTGACTATACCTTACAAAAATGTATTGTACTCAGGTGATGGACACCTTAAATAACCTGACTTGTCTCTACACATTATGTGCATGTGACAAAATTTCTCATGTATCCCACAAATCTGTACACATTTTAAAAAAAGGACAAACAGAAAAAGCCTTCTTTGAATCTTTTCTTGATTAATGCTTAGAAAGAGAAAATCTTACAGATCCCTTAGTGGGTAACCTCTTCCTTTAGGCAGTGGTTCTTAGAATTTTGGGGTGGATTCCAGAAGCCTCTGGTAATCAAATGCACTAAATCCATGGATATTGAATCATTAATACTGAATTACCAGTTTAAAACCCGAAAGTCAGAGAAGTCTGGTGACCTGCTGAGGATCTCGGGACTCCTCTCACTTGCTTGCACTATAGCTCCTGATTCTGTGAAAACAAACCAATGAACCCCAACTCCTCAACTCTTAAAATGCATACAGCCAGATACATATGGACAGCAAGAGCACAGACATTTAAAAACAGAGCAGAAAAAAGTAACTTGAACAGAATGTGGCATTTCCCTTGGTCTGTTGCTAACGGCCCACATACAACATGCTTAAAAAATCCCACCCTGGCACTTATTTTCATCATCACTTAAAAATGATTCAAATGGACATTTAAAATGCATGGCATTGCGCATGTATCCCATCTGGGAATAAATGGAAAAGGGCTTCCTCGAGCAGGGCTGTGTTTTCTTTGGTGGTTATCAGACTAAGGTTGATCTATAATTGGTCTCTTCTCTTTGGTCATGCTTTTAAAGCCAAACACAATATTTTAATTGTCTATTTTCAGTACTCCAAAGTCAGAAGCATTAACCATTCCTTTTTGTAATAAAATAGCTATGGACATGATTTGTAAAACGTCTTCAAGATTTGAAGACATGAAAGAAACATGTAAAAAGGAATTACCTCATTTTCTTTGTATTATTCACTTTTTTAATTGACCCAGAAGCCAATCATATTTTGTTTTATTAAACACTGGAGACTCCTGCTTCTTAGCTGTCACCTTTGGGGTGGCTGTTTTCTGAATGTTGTTCCAATTAAAGTTCTTCACACAAATTGTGAGGGTTGGATGTCCCACATACTTATACATACTCTTCACTATATTTTTAAACTCCAGTGTGCTCAGACAAGAGTCCATAACCAGCTACGAACCTATTTTGATGCTGCCTGCTGTCAGCAAACTGTCTATTGATAACTGTCCTAATAAAGTTTAAACAATTTTCATAACACTGGAAAGCTGCATGAAAGTAATTATGGCTAGGTGCAATGAAACACTGACCAATCATGGAATGTATTCGTTCACTGTATTAAGCTCATAGCCCAGCTTTTCTCAGTCTCAAGCTTTTGGTCCTGAATGTTACACTGTAGGCATTGTGTTTTAATCATTTCCCCAATCTAAACATAGAAATTATCCTATGGGGAAAACATCACCTTCCTTTGGCCTTTACTTCCGGAGGATTTTAATGCTTCATTGCTAACCATTATTTTAATGCTGCACACCTGGACACATCACACAGTATAATGTAATATATGTAGTCAGGCTTTGGAGAATTTATTTCAATTTACATACAATCCTCCAAATCCTCTGTCGAGCTTGATGTGAAATCTGACACAGCCACATCTCCCCAGCAGGGTCTGTCTTTGCTCTCTTTGTTAATAGCCAAGGGCTCCAAGGATCTCTCCGTGGAGCGCGGTGGGGCTAAGGAGTCAGGAAGAGGGGTGACTGCGGGGCTTGTTGCGCTGAAGATTTACAATGTACTTCTCGCAGGCGGCTCAGCAACCCCCTCTGTGGCTGTGGGTGTCTGGTGTGACAGAGCGGAGAAAAGCTCTCTAATCTCCCAGCGCCTGCCTCTGCCGCTCAACCGCTCCCCTCCCTCCCGCCTTTCCTGCCTCCTCGCGCGCGCTCTCTCTGCCTTTCTCAGGGAGTTTCAGTCCCTCAATGCAGCTGGAGTAGCCCTGGCAATCTAAACCCGGAGCCTGTGTATATACACACACGCACACACACGCACACACATGCACACGCGCTCGCACATACGCACTTCGGCTCTCCCCCTGGGGATATGGAGCAAACCCAGAGCTTCATCTACCTGAAGGGAATGGCCCGGCCGGACACTTCTTTCTCAGTTGTCATCTCCGGAGGGCAGAGCAAGACTGGAAAGAGGGAGGCTCGCTGTCGGGTCTGCAACCTCCTGCCGTTTGCCGCCACCGCCGCTTAAAGTGCCCAGGGTGGAGGAGAAGGCTTTTCCAGGACGGACCTCCGTCGTAGCTTCGCGGCCCTAGGACTTCCTCCTGCTGGTTCACTCTAGTCTCTCCCACCTCGACCATCCTCTCCTCTCCAGCTGCAGGGTGTATGGCTCGGGTGCCTCCCGTGCTGTGGCCGCTGTCACTGCTCCTGCGAACACATTCCACCCAGAGGACTGAACGCCGCCGCTGGAGTGGGGGAGAAAGCGGAAGCCCTAACTTCCCCCTCCACACACTCGCTCTCCCCACTGCTCTCGTCCTTCTCCCCAGCCGAGGACCGGTTGGAAGGCTCCCGCGGAAAGCGAGGCGAGAGCGCGGCGCAGGGGAGGGACAGCCGGGAGCCGCAGGCGCACAGGGGCGGGAGCAGCATGTGCCCCAGCGCCGGGTGCTCGCCCGAGAAGTAGCGCGCGCTGGGCAAGCAAGGCGCTTTCCAAGTTGGGCGCGTCCCAGAGCTCGCAGCTCCCCTCCTCGGCAGCCCGAGTCCGGAGTGAGGCGGGGCTGATGGGGGTCGCTGAAGCTGCCGTCGCTGGTGGCCAGAACCCGTCTTAAAAGAACCCAGGCCAGCATTCCCAGTAGCGCGCCCTCGGCCCGCGTGCGATCTCCCATGCCTGCTCTGGCGGTGGCCCCGGTGGCCCGCTCGCGGGGGGTGCGAGAGGGGGCGGGGGAGGAGGAGGAGGCGGTGTGATGGCCCTGGACGGCGAGCTGGGGGAGCAAGAGGAGGAGAAGAAAAAGAAGAAAAAGAAGAAGAAGAAGAAGAAGAAGAAGGAGGAGGAGGAGGAGGAGGGGGCCGAGAAGAGCAGCTCACCCTTCGCGGCCACGATGGGGGAAGACGACGCCGCGCTTCGGGCTGGCGGCAGGGGGCTCTCGGACCCGTGGGCAGACTCCGTGGGAGTGCGACCCCGCACCACGGAGCGCCACATCGCGGTACACAAGCGGCTTGTGCTGGCCTTCGCCGTGTCCCTCGTGGCACTGCTCGCGGTCACCATGCTCGCCGTGCTGCTCAGCCTGCGCTTCGACGAGTGCGGGGCGAGTGCCATGCCAGGCGCCGACGGTGGCCCCGCGGGCTTTCCGGAGCGCGGCGGCAACGGGAGCCTCCCCGGATCAGCCCGGCGCAACCACCACGCAGGCGGGGACTCCTTGCAGCCCGACGCTGGTGGGGTGGCCAGTCCGGGGACCCCGTCCACCCAGCCGCCGTCGGAGGAGGAGCGGGAGCCGTGGCAGCCGTGGACGCAGCTTCGCCTGTCGGGCCACCTGAAGCCGCTTCACTACAATCTGATGCTCACCGCCTTCATGGAGAACTTCACCTTCTCCGGGGAGGTCAACGTGGAGATCGCGTGCCGGAACGCCACCCGCTACGTAGTGCTGCACGCTTCCAGAGTGGCGGTGGAGAAGGTGCAGCTGGCCGAGGACCGGGCGTTCGGGGCTGTCCCAGTGGCCGGTTTTTTCCTCTATCCGCAAACCCAGGTCCTAGTGGTGGTGCTGAATAGGACGCTGGACGCGCAGAGGAATTATAATCTGAAGATTATCTACAACGCGCTCATCGAGAATGAGCTCCTGGGCTTCTTCCGCAGCTCCTATGTGCTCCACGGGGAGAGAAGGTATGGAGGGAGGCGGTGCCCCGCGCCGCCCCACCCCGCCGAGCGGCTCGAACCTCAGGCGGCCGGCGACCCCGGGGACCCAGCTGGCTTCCAGTACCCGGGAAGCCAGGGGTGGGGGAAGGAAACGAAAGCTTGGTAGGGCAGTCAGAACCTCGGGGTCTCCTAGATGCCTCAGGGTCTCCCTGCTGCCAACTCCGCAAACTGACTCACCCGTGCCAAAAGATGAATGCCGCCCCCTCCTCTAGTCGGGACCTCTCCTCTTCCCTTCAAAGTTCCTTAGCCATCAAAACGCAGGGCTCTTTTTCTGAAGGATAGCTGGTAATCTGAGCGATGCCAAAATAACATGAAAGGCTTGCCAAGTTACCGTCGAGGGAAAATACATGACAGCAGCGCATCCAGGTTAGGATGTCAGGGCAGGTCAGGGGCATACCGTCCCTCCCCCGCCCCAACATGCCCATCTCCCCTGACTATTAGCCCCCTGCCAGGTGCAGAGCAGAGGATGGGCTTTGGCTGAATAAAGTTTCCTCAAACTCCAAGTTGAGATTCGGAGTGAAAAGAGTGGTTTCCAGAGTTAGGCCCAGAGAACCCGGACAGGGGTGGAGGGTGCAAAGGCCAAAGCCGGGGAGAAGCAGCCTCGCGAGCGCTGCCAGCTCTGTGCTAAGTCAGGGTGATTCCAATTGTTTGTTCATGAGTTGCTGTCTCTGGAGATGATTCCAGTGGTGAAGGGTGAAAAAGCTAGTGGTCAGTCCCAAACGCCTTGTTAGTATCTTTGGCGGGTTTTACATTTGGGTAGTCTTGTATTTAAAAAAAAAAATTCTGAGAGGCCATGGAGCTTTTCATCACTTGGTTAGATCTCAGACTTCATAATCCAATAGAACCGAGTTCGAATCTCTGCTGTTCATCTAACTGTGGTGAAGGTTTGAGGAAGGTAATTAACCTTTTCCTGACATGACTACTTCTAGTACTTATTGCACACCCATGAACTCAATCCGACAAGAACTCTATGAGGTAGATGCTATTATCAGCATTCCCTGTTTTACAAGTGGGGAAGTGGAGGCACAAGTAGGTCACATAGCTTGACCGAGATCACCAAGAGTGAACAGATGAAGCACAGATTTAGACCCTGGGAGTTTGGCTCTAGAGCCTAGACTTTTCATTCTCACTTGGGGATACCAATAATAATATCCTACTTTAGTATTTGTATGAGTGAATGCATTACAAAGCACTTACCCCTGTGCCTGGCATATAGAGTGTCCACCATAAACACTAGCTCTTATGAGTGTTTTGTGACAGTAAGCTCTCAGGTATATTGTTGAATGAGTAAGCGATTCTTTTTCTTTGCTCTAACTCCCTCATTGCTAAAATAACTTCAATTAATTAAATGACTATAGGGCAGATGCACAACCAAAGTGAGCTTAAAAATTAAACCAACAGCTTTAGAAGAGGAGGCAGGTTATAGATCAGTAATGAGGCAGAGCCTCTCCTTTTCTCAGGTGATTCTCACAACAGCAGAACACTGGGGCTCAGAGAAGCCCAGGGCCCTGAAGGTCAGCAGGCTTGTCAGTGGAGAGCTAGGACTTGAACCCTGGTTCTCTAATCCCTGGTCCACACAGAGCTTATGGTGTTTGGAACCTCTCAGAAGAAGTTATTGTGTAAGAGGCTGTGGAAATTGCCATGTGTTGTGAAAGTAAGCAAAAGTTTTATTATTTATAGAGTTCTATGAAGTAACCTCCTATAAATAAAATGCCCAATGCTTTAGTAGTTGTATGATAGGTAAAACTTCCTATGAGTGAATGTATAAATTATTCACTTTCTAACTTCTGACATCAGATATGGTAATTTAAACCCCCTTCTACCACTTTCTCTAACATGTTCTAAAGAATACAGATTAAAAATCTTTTTAAACCCCAAATTATATCAAATATGGGGGAAAGGCATAGAAAACAAATTTGTATACTATGTTTAAGAACAAGCTTGTTATGTCAAAATGTCAATAGTGGCAGCTGCATATCATTACTGATACATCTTGCTGTGGTGAAATAAATGCTTTCAACAAATCCTGTTTTTTGAGCCATGCCAAAATATATTTGACAGAACTGAGTTTGTTTTGGTCAGTGCTTTCAAATTAACAGGACTTTTTAAAAGACCAGATGTTTCTGCTTGACCCATAACTGATTTCTTTTACCCCTAGTGCACATTTGTATTCAAACTCTCTCCTGCAGTTTTCCCCAAAGAAGTAAATAAGTTGGTTGGAAGTTTAACCTAGTTCATATATAGTTAAACCCTTCATTCCAATAGAAATGCAGGACTCAGTGTTCTGAAAATCCCAGGATTATTTCTAAACAGCATCTTAGAGACAATCCTTGTTCCTCATTTTTTTCCCCTCTTCATTATTATTACCAGAGTACTGATAATTTCTTGGATGTTTCTGCTGGAATTGATAAGGCAAAAGAAATGAATCTAATAAACCATTTCGTAGTTATGTAAACTTTCTACTTATTAAACTTTTTTTTGTTACTAAAGTCACTTGGAGCATTTTTAAACAGACCCATATCAGGATCTCAGATAGGGTTATACTTTTATTGGTGAGTTTGTCCACAAAATGTAATGTAAATTGGCATTTTAAAACTCACTTTCATATAGGACACAGATGCAAACACTGAATTTTTATTTGATTAATAATTAAATATTTTGGTCTTTAGTTAGATATGATTTTGTCAGTTTAACTATAGGATAATACCTGAAATAAAAACAAATATTTAATCTGGCAAAGGGAGTCATATTGAGCAACTTGAAATGCTTAAAAGAGCGATACTATCATGCAGTCCACTTCTCTTAGCTTATGTGGAAACAATAACTCGTTAAAATCCTATCCGTTCATATTCTTCAACTCGCTTCTCAGAGATCTGAGCAAAAGAATTTTGGTGATGGCAGGAAAATTAAATTCCACTGTGTGCTATATACCTTGGACCCCTGGAAGGTTTTATCCCCGCTGGGTGCTGTAGGTAGCCTGGCTTTGTACAACTGGGAAGACTTGCTTTTCCTGGTTTCCATACTGTAGTGTACAAAGGTTAGAAGATGAGGCCCCCCCTTGAAGCCCAAGGTTTTTTCAAGTTGAGACAAATTCTCTACTCTTGGTTACTACACTTGTTGAATATCGAAAATAAATTTTCTTAAAATCAAAATGTTTACAAACTAAGCAGTAAATTAGGCAGAATACATACTTACTTTTTCATCAACTGGGTGTGCAGCAGGCAGATAAAAATGGATGTGTATTTATGCCATAGTCTACGACAAGATAATATGCTTGCTTAGAATTACATAAAATGTTCATTTACCTGAAATAATTGCCGCTTTTGGGTAGCCAGATGGAGAGCACACCCATGTTCAAAGTAGGGTACTTTAATTTAGATCCAGATGGTTGGATCGAAAGGTAAATATAGCCAAGATAAAGAACATTCTATTCAATTTCAAATGGGTGACTGTTTTCCTTAACAAACTTTGATAGGGTCTATAACATGCCAAAGTGAAAGATGACATTAAAAATAGGAGGTCCTTTTCTATAAAGGATTGTTTAGAGAGAAACTATCGTCTCCAAGTAAAATGGGAAAATAATAGTGGTAGTTCTCAAATAGAATTGGGACCATCCTTTTGCAAAAATCCTGGGGAGAGAATGGAGGATTTTATCTCTGGGTAGGCATTTGCTCTACTGTGGCATTAGTGTGTGTGATTTGATGTCTTCTAATTTTCTCAGAATGAATTAATACTCATGATATTTAATAATAACAAGAAATTCACTACATTAGTTTTAGATTGAAAGCAGCTTCATTTCTCCCGTTCACTTTGGTAAGAAGATAGCTTAACATGAGCAAGTAGGATGTTCCTCTATTGAGGGCTGTGAACTGAAAAAATCTTTTGAGAACCATTTGTTTCTGTAAAAACTTTTCTCTATGTATGATTCCTTAATGGACTTAGCTCATTGTTTTTATGTCAGGCTCACATAACCATATGGCAAAACTGAGTTCAGTGCTGGATTTTGAACACAATTCAAAATACCACCAGTAAACCATATCTGGACAATGTTTACTTAAAAAGAAGCTCTGACCATTTAATAATGACTCACTCAGGGAGAAAATTTATGCAATTGGTGTTTGTCTTGCTGTGTTTTCTGTAGTGTCATTCGATTTGATCACC